AAAAAAAAAAAAAATCATGGAAGGTCTGTGGCCCTCAGGATAAGAACTATTGCTCTAGAGTGAAGGCAAGGTGATTGACTGGCTGATTTTCTTGTCTGCTTTTTCTGTCGCTTGGGGAAGTTGATATGATTAAATCTTCTGCTTTCATTATGGATTTGTCTTTTCCTCCTTTAATTTTGTTAGGTTTTTCTTTATAGATTTTGAAGCTATGTTTCTAGGTGCATACAAATTCAGAATTGTTACAACTTCCTGGTGGGTGGATCTTTTTATCATACGAGATGTTCCTCTAGAAATACTTCTTGCCTTAAAGTCTACTTTTACTGACATTAGTTTAACTACACCAGCTTTCTTTTGGTTACAATTAGCGTGGTATATATTTTTCCATCCTTTTAGTTATGACCTATTTATGTCTTTACATTTGTATCTTTTAAATAACGTATAACTGGAGGCTTTAAAATCCTGTCTATCTTTGTATTTTAATTGTAATATTCAGCCTGTTTACGTTTAATGTAATTACAAATTTGGACTTAAATCTTCCGTTTTTCTCTTTGTTGTCTATTTGTCTCATCTGTTTTGTATTCCTTTTTCTTCTTTCCTTTCTTGCCTCTTTTGACCAAATATTTTTTTAACTCTCTTTTTTCCTCCTTTATTAGTTCATTAGTTATCCCTTCTTTTACTTTTCTGTTGGTAGGCATTCTAGGAATTCCAATATGCATTCTTGATTTATGTAAGTCTAAATATAGATGAGTAATTTTAATACTTACCAGATATCACAAAGACCTCAGATACTTTAACACTATTTATTGCCACATGCCTCCCACATTTGTGCTATTCATGTCATATATTTTAAACTCTGTAAGCCTTTATTGTTATTGTTTTATGTTGTCAGTGTTCATTTAACTGTACCCATGCATTAATCCGTATTTCCATTCACCCTCATTCCTTCCTGTATGTCCATGCTTCATCTGCAATTGTTTTTTTCTGCCTGAAGAATGTCCTTTAGTGTTTAGTGTGTTCCCTTTAAAGCAGGTCTGTTAGTGATGAATTCTTTCCATTTTTGTTTTTCTGAAAATGTCTTTATTTCATCTTTATTTTTGAGGAGTATTTTCAGTGGGTTATAGAATTCAGTATGCACATCTTACTAGATATAGAAAAGGTATTTGAGGGCACAAAGAGATGTAAAGGTCATAGGAAATAAAGAAGGGGGAAAAGGAGAGGAGGGGAGAGGTAAAACCCTATCTATCTGGTACAATGTACACTATTCAGATTATGGGCACACTAAAAGCCTCAACTTAAGCATTATAAAAGGTATCCATGTAACAACAACATTTGTACCCCATTAATATTTTGAAATTAAAAAAAGAAGAAACTGCCAAAAGAAATTCAAATTCTTTAAAATATACAAAAAAGAAAAGGTATTTGAGAAAATTTAACATTTGTTCAGTTTAAAAACATAAAAACTTATTAGCTAACCAGGAATAAAAGTTCCTTAACCTGAAAAAAATGATCTGTTGTTCTATTAAGATCGAGAACAGCTCTGTTCGTGAGTTCTAACTGGTTTACTTTTTCTCACTTAACAAGTATGTTTAACTAGGATCTCTTGTAAGCAGTGACTTAACCCAGAGGAATGAGTCTTAAGGATAGGAACTTTTAGGTTCACTATAGTCAAGTAGAGGAAATATTTTGGCAAGCCTTTTAGCGTTCATCAAATCTTATTAATCTGTATAGACTGTTTATGCATTTTTATTCATCTAATAAATACTTATTAAATATCTATACCAGGCTCTCTGTTGACTGGGGACACCTTGATGAAAGGCAGTCCTGTTGTTAAGAAATTCAGTTAGTGCAGGAGGCAATCAGTCAGAAGACACTGAGTAAGGCAGAGGAATACGCAGAATGACTGGAAGCATAAGGAAATTCATTAACTCTGACACTGGAGAAAGGGGGCTAGTAAAGGACTATCTTCAAGGACAAGTTGGAGGGCTAATCTTGCAGCCAAGGTTAATGCCAAGATCAGGCATTAATTTAGCTCCTCTTTATTCTCTTTTTAAACTTCGTACTCTCTTCATTTATGGCTTCAGCCAATAATTATAGCTAATATTTATTGAGAATTTACATGCCCTGCACTATGATAAGCACTTTATACATATTAACCCATTTTATGCCTGGAACAACTTTGTGAGGCATCTACTATAATTAACCTCATTTTACAATTGAGAAACTCTAAAATAACTTTCTGTAGGTTATATAGCTAGTCACTGATTCAAACCTTGGTGGTCTTATTCTAGATCTGTGCCCCTTATCACTAAACCACACTGCTTCTCCATAGATTATAACCATGACATTCTTTTGCTTTTCAGTAGAATTGAGAGAAAGGATAGGCTGGGCACAGTGGCTCATGCCTGTAATCCTAGTGCTCTGGGAGGCTGAGATGGGAGGACTGCTTGAGCTCAGGAGTTTGAGAACAGCTTGAGCAAGAGCTAGACCCCGTCTCTACTAAAAATAGAAAAAAGAAAACCAAATTAGCTGGACAATTAAAAATAGAAAAAATTAGCCAGGCATGGTGGTTCACGCCTGTAGTCCCAGCTACTCGGGAGGCTGAGGCAGGAGGATCGCTTAAGCCCGGGAATTTGAGGTTGCTGTGAGCTAGGCTGACGCCACGGCACTCTATCCTGGATGACAGAGTAAGATTCTGTCTCAAAAAAAAAATAGAGAAAGGTGCAACAAATAAAACCATAGAAGCTGAGAGCTGTGGGAAATTTGCTATGAATGCAGTATTTGCATTATTATTGGCTTAAGTTGCAAGTATTTTGCTCAGACATCTTGGACATAGTCTCTGGACACCACACTATACTCAGATCAGATCTGCCATTTCAATCAAGTTAAAAGGGTTCACCTATGAAATAGTTTATTTCTGAAAAGAAATGGAATTTGGTTTGGTATTGGTTTGGAGTTTTGTTATTGTGTGTGAGTAGATACAAAAAAAACATTTTTAACAAAAGCATTCTACCCAAATACTGTTTAGCTCCCACCTTTGCCATAAAATTTATTTTGATTACTTTAGGTTTTTTTTTTTATTTCCCTCTCTCTCCTTTTCTCCAGTCTACTTTCTCTACTCTCTTGTTTAGGATTCTGTACATTCCAAATGAAAGAAATCCAGTTCAAAATAGGTAAGCTAAAGAGTGGTTATTGGCAGAATACTAGGACCACTGACTCGATCAGTGGAAGAGCTGCTGGACAGGGGCTGTTCCTAGGACACTGAGCCATGAAATTGAACTTTCAGTTCCCACAGTACCCCCTCTCTCCACCATAATCTCTTCTCTTTACTTCTCTTTTTTCTGAGTTGATTTCATTCCTACCAGTCATGGTGTCACTTGGTTGTGAGGCAGCTCCAGGTGTGCCTTATCCTAGTAAGGATCTCAGAGAAGAAAAGTTTCTTTTCCCTTCTTCACTATATCTAAATCCCAGGGAAAGATTCTGGCCCAGCTTGGATCATGTTTATGTCCTTTGAACCAAACATTCTGAGCAGGGAGTTGAGGTGCTGTGATTGTTTAGGCTGAGAATAAACGAATGCCCCTGGGCGGGAATGGGAGAAACTGAGTTTGACAGACCCATCAAAACCCTAGAGAGGTGAGGGGGAAGGTGCAGAACTCAGTTTCCCAGAAGGAAGGAAGGGTGCTGTTAGAAGAAGGGGAAAAGAAAATGCTGAACAGATAATCACAAGTTTTGCCAAGGGATTTCTCTGTGTCCCACATTTTGGTACTTTTCTCTATGTTGAGATTATGGAATCTTTGAAGACTTACAGATGTAGACTTGGGAGTCAGACAGCCTTGAATCGGATTCCCTTTGAATCCTTTAAGGTACTTTGCACACAACTAGATGCTTAATAAGCAATTACTTATTTCAACTTCTGTTTGTAATACTTTTCATTATTTTGGCTCATTCTAGTCATGGTTTTAGGCAGACATTATCTTTTCTATTTTTAGTTGTGAACTAAATTATTTAATGATTGTTTCTGTGTTTAGTTCAAGATTTTTTTTGGCACAAGTTATTGGTGGCTTGGTTAAAACTACATATCTCAAAAACATGGCTGAATGAAATTCCTCTTCAAATATTATAACAAGCCAATTGTTCCCCCATATTTTTAATGGATTGCTTTTTTACTGAAAATGATACACCAAATCAAAGAATTGACTTGTTAAAGATTCTGTGTTCCTTAGAAACTAATTGATGCTAAACTAGATGATTTCAATGTGTATTTGTCTTAGTGGCTAACTGGCTTAAATATTTGTTGAATTCAGGATTTTTTTAATCATCTAGATTTTTTTTTTAAACTTTAAATCTTTTAAATTTAGTTTAACTTGCTTCAAGAGTTTTGTCTTTTAATGTAAATGCCACATGAATACATGAGACAAAAATATTTAAGTCATTCATGTATTGATTATTTTCATTTTCTCCTTAGGAACTGAGAGAAAGCTATAATACACAACAGTTAGCCCTTGAACAACTTCATAAGATCAAACGTGACAAATTGAAGGAAATTGAAAGAAAAAGATTAGAGCTGATCCAGAAAAAGAAACTAGAAGATGAGGCTGTAAGGTAATATAACTGATAAATTTATTATACTATATTACTGTTAGAATTCTAATTTTATTTCCCATATGTTTAGTTTAACTATGACAACGTAAGGGGAATAAAAGGATTATCCTAGGATGCTAATCAGATTCCAGATTTTATAAGTTAAATCCTCCTTTTAGGGACCAAGTTTGCAGTAACCAATTTTATGTTCTATTAGTGAAAAATGTGGACTTTGGAGTTAGACCTGTTTTAGAATTCTTGGTCTGCCACTTACTATCTGGATGACCTTGGTTTGGTCATTTTACCTTTCTGAACCTCAGTTTCTCCATCTGATAAAAAGAGACATTAATGCATACCTCATACGTAATTGTGAATATGAAGTAAATTAATGTTGCTAAAGAGCCAAGTATAATTTATTGTATATAATAAGCACTCGTTAATTCTGTCTCTCCATAATAAGTCTGTCACTGTTTTCTGAAAGACCATAAAAACCATATACTTAATTTTATAAAGCAATACTGAGTGTAGCGTGCCATGTTAATACAGTTCTCTTTGTACCATTGAGATATATTAATTGCCTTCATTTATAGCAAGAAGTAAGACCGTTGTGGTATCTGAAGCCTACAACCATTCATTTAGAGTCTTTGCATGATTTTTTTCATGTCATAAAGATTCTTTTTCTAATACATTCCTCTGTCCCTCCCAAGTTCTATAGTATCAGACATTAGTATAACTAGTTAACAAATATCGATAGGCCAATATTTCTTTGCCTTGGTAAAGAGTAATATTCATGAAAGAACTAATAATTACTAGGAAGGCAAAAAAGATACATTACCATTTAGCAGGCTTCTATTCTAAATGGCTTCAAAATAGCCACTTCCAACACATTTTTGTTGAGTGGCTGTTGTCGGCTGTGATGCCAGTAGACTCTGGATTGCTCCTTGCCTGTTGGGTTCCTCATAATTCTAATAGGGGAGTAGACAGTTCAACAAATAGCTATAATAGTGTTTACTCCAAGACCACTATTTTTGTGGACTATAACAAGAAACAATGTAGAAATAGAGACAGTAGAGTTCAAACAAAGTAGGCTTTTATTTGCCACTTAACTTGTGCCACTTAACGTTGCACAAAAGAACTGTGCAGTGGTTACATAGCTAGTCCCTGTATCAGAGTTTTCTGATACATCATGCAATTAACTTGATACCTCTTCATCTTGCTCACAATTCTCTTCAGTCCAACAGATTTTATTAGTAATACACATTTCATTTCACTCATCATTCTTGCACATTATCTTAGTAGATAGAGAGGAGATATCAAAGAGAACAGAAGTATCTGTAGGATCTGATCAGTCCAGAGCTGGGTCTTAGTACCACATCTTGGTTTCCTCGGCCATTCACCCAGGTATATTCCCTTCTTCTCCCAAGCTATTGATAATAGGTTTTCCCCATTGTAGGGAAAACCATTCTCTTTGCCTGTTGTCCAGCTCCTGAGGCATCTCCTTGCACTGGACCCATTACTTACCCACTAATTCACATAAGAAAGTTTGCCAGAATTTTGGCTCAGTTTCCTGGGGGTGTGCTCAGCCTACTCCACCTCCCCTCAGCTGAGCCTAGAGTAGAGGGGCCAGGTATCCTTCCTCATAGGAGAGGCATTTAAATAAGGAGCCTCGCCTGGCTGCTCTAGCCTTACATTTACTTGGCTGTAATAACCTGGCCGAAGGAGAAGCTGGTGGAAAGGATGAAGAGCTGGAAAAGAAAGAAAGAGAGAAAGAGAGAGGAGAGAGAGAGAGAGAGGAGAGAGAGGGAGGGAGAGAGGAAGGAAGGAAGGAAAAAGGAAAGAGAAAGAGAAAGAAGAGAGAGAGGGAGGGAGGGAGAAAGGGAGGGAGGGAAAAGAAAAGAAAGTTTACCAGAATCTAATGAACTCTCTGGTCTTTTCTTTGTGTCACTAAATATGTGCTAAGTACTCTGGTAGTGATGTTTATAGTGCTGTGGGAATTCAGGTGAATCCTAGGCTTGGGAGAGTGTCAGGAAAAGTTGCAGAGGAACAGAAAAAGGGAATATTAGTTGAAATTGAGTGAGGATGCAAGCGAAGCATCGTCCTCAAAGGAGAACCAGATTTCAGTTACGGAAAGCTGCTGGAGGAAGCATTCCATGATGTGATAGAGGATGTAGAAGGGTTTGGAAAGGGTTAGAAGGAAGCTAGTAATGGGAGAATGAACCAGAAGTATGATGTATAAAATAATTTGGGGATGAGGAGAAAGGATTGATGACTAAGGGCCTACAGTTTTTTTAATTATACAGGGTTTCTAAGTTCCTCCAGGAATTAAGGAATAGAAGTACGGAATTAATCCAAGACTCCCACTTTGGTGGAATATAAATGCTCCTAGATCACAGGGATGTATCCAGCCACAACCTCCACTGTCCCTGAAAGTGCTGAGGCTCAGAGCAAGTGCTGAATTTACTGGTGGCAGCTCTGCCTCTGAGTAAGATCATAAAAATACATGCAAGGGAGAGCTGTAAAGTACATTAGTTCTACTACTAAAATAATTAAGTCTGATCACAGATCATCTTGAGAGGCTAGAAACCAAACTGTAGCTGCATCAAATGTCATAGAAACATTTATAAAGGCTTGGACATATAAAGGAAAAATACTCTATTATCTAAGCAAATGAAAAAAGACTTTTTGAAGTGATAATATAAAAAGTAGGTAATCTTTCCAGAAGCATTTCCAGTTTTCACAGCAATGACTGAATCTCAAAAACAGATTAGATGGGACAGTGGGAATAAAAGCTGGAAAGCAGTCCTTGTGAACAATGTAGAGAAAAGGGAAGGAAATTTAGATATAATTTTTAGATTTGTTTGCTAAATGGTTCCATTTCAACTTTTTGCCTTGGGTTTTGAGGTTGGTTGGCAGGAGGCAATTGGAGGATGTGGAAAGTGGTCAGTCATACACCTCAGCTCATCCATTAGTCCAGGGCTTTTCTTTTGATTGGTTGATGTTTTCCCTTTCATCCCTGGTCCCTACTGTTTCTCCCTACCAATACCTCTTTGCTAGTTCTTGAGCTTGACAGGAACCAGATCTTCTATTGTATTTTTATTTAGTGTAAAAAAATTTTTAGGACCTTATGCAAACTCTTTTTCTTTTATGTAAAGGAAAGCCAAGCAAGGAAAAGAAAATTTATGGAGGGAAAGTCTTAGAAAGGAGGAAGAAGAAAAACAAAAGCGACTCCAGGAAGAAAAAACACAAGAAAAAATTCAAGAAGATGAACGGAAAGTTGAGGAGAAACAATGTAAGGATAAGGATAAAAATAATACATTCGATATTTTTTGAGACAGAACTACTAAAGTAATAAGAAAAAAACAACCCGATGAGAGGCAAAAAAAAGGAAGAGACAATTAAAACAGAAAGATGCTAATTTTAAAGTCAGAAAAGATCTTTTTCTAAATTAAATGTAGATGAAAAGTGTGTAGGCTTATTAAAACAGATTGAAGGTAGAAATCTTAACACAACAGGAAAACAGAATATAGTTAACCATGACTAACTGAAAAGATCCTGACCTGATTTTTGTAATTGAAGTAAAATAGCTTTAAATATTTTATTCAGCCAGTAGAACTAAGCTTTTTATTTTAATGAAACAACAGTAAAATTTTGAGTCTTGCACAATGAAATTTTCTCAGAAGATATACTTTGTTTTTTGATACATCTCAGAGTCTATTCCTAAAGTACTTTGAGTGTCATTATATCTTTTTTGGATACATAGACCTTCGAATCAATATTAATGATCCAATGTGTTGGAAATTTGACAAGCTAAAGCATTTATTCTAAAAATGAATAAAGTAAAAAATTTTTAATCTTTTCAAATCCAGTATATTTGTGAACTCTTCTGCTATTATTCTTTTAGAATCATACTGATAAATCTATAGATCTTTCTTCAGCCGACCCTGTTTGCCTACTAATCTTCTCATTTGTGACCTCCTTTTTGTGCTTTTCTTCCCTGTTATTTTCTGTGTTCTGACCTCCACAGATCAAACTAAGTCTCTCTCTGCTTAGTCTCCTTCCACTTTGTGCAGCCCAGCCCAGCACTCCTGCACCTTCCTTTAGATCCGTTTGCATGCTTCAGCCTGCAGGTCTTCTCTTTGTTTTACTGCCTCCTACTTTGCTTAAGATGAACGTCCTTGTTTGCGTTTATATTGATTATATGACTAGTCAGGATATTTAAATCCTAACAAGTCTGTATCAGATGGATTTTCATTATACTGTTTTAATGCTCAGTTTTTCTTTTAGATTTTAAGAGCTCTTTATTAAGTCATTAAGCAAAGATGTGTATACATGAAAGTAGCGAATAATGACAATTATCTTCTCTTTAGGTGAGACAGCTAGTGTTTTGGTGAATTATAGAGCATTATACCCCTTTGAAGCAAGGAACCATGATGAGATGAGTTTTAATTCTGGGGATATAATTCAGGTAGGAAACAAAGTCTTTTTTCTCATGAATAAGCTGAATACATTGTAATATATTACTTTCTATAATAACATTGACTATAATGTTATATAATTATTTTCCTTTATGAAATATTTCTTAAACATTACCTCATTTGACCCTTACAACATACCTCAGAGCTGCATAGGCCAGTTATTACTACCATGGTCTAGGCAAGGAAGCTTAGATTCACACAAATTGTAACTGTCAGCATTGCATGCCAGAGTGGGATGTAAGTATATAGCTTTTGATTTCCAAAGCTAGTGTTCTGTCTACTATGCCATACTGCTTTGCATCATAAAAGGTGATATTAATTTTGTTATTGTAATGAATTAACAATAAAATTTTGGAGGGCTGGTTATTTTCTGGCAACTGTTAAGAGTTGAAGGAGTTAAATTCTGCAGCCCTAACTGGATACAGGCCATTTATTCCTTGGAACAAAAGATCTTTATTGTATTAATCACAATCTATGTAAAATGGATGAATAAGAGAAGATCCATAGAATAATGTTTGGGAGAGCCAGTGTGGTGTGGTATAATGGAAAGAGTACAGGCTTTAGAGGCACAAACTTGGATTTTAATCTTTGCTTCAGTTTTCTTCTTATTAAACTAAGGTACTATTACTCAGAATATCTAGCCAGTGTCTATTGTCTTTTTTCCCTACACTGTCACCAGTTTGGTATATTTTATAGTTAGGTAGCAAATGGTTATTGAAACTTGGAATAGGATTTACCAGAACTCAAGCACACAAGATGATCCCCAGATATACATTCCTTTTCTTGCCATTGCCACCACTGGCAATGCCATAGCTGCTCCCGAGCTGGGGGAGAGGTCTGTTTTGCAACCAGCCCAAGGCCACAGTCTGCTGTCCCTAGTGTTCCTCCTCTGCTTGTTGATGATGGTGAGATAGTGTCTGAGGATGAAGAGATGCAGCCTATCTCTGGGCATGTTTGGTCAAGAGCCTACTTACAATTTTGATTATATCTTTTATTTATTCCATCAACAAATATTTCTTGAAAGCTATGTTAAGCTAGGGATATAGTGAAAAAGACATAATCTCTGCTGTTAACAAGATTGTAGTCTGATGAAAAAGAAAGACAACCTAAAGCAGTAGAGGAAGGAAGGTAAAGGAAAAGGTTAGACTGCTATCAGCTTTAGAACAGACCTTTCTCACAGTCAGAGAGCCAGCCTGTGGCAGTGAGAAAAGGACCATAAAGTTAGCTGTGGTGTCTTGGATGCTCATGTACTCTTCTGAATCATAACAGAAAGAATGAGTCATAGCCGGGCATGGTGGGTCACACCTCTAAGCCTGGCACTTTGGGAGGCCAATGCAGGAGGATTGCTTGAGCCCAGGACTTCAAGACCAGCCTGAGCAACATAGCAAGACCCCATCTTTACTAAAAAATTTTTTAAAAAAGAATTAGCCAGACATTGTGGCATACACCTGTAGTCCCAGCTACTCAGGAGTCTGAGGCAAGAGGATCACTTGAGCCCAGGAGTTTGAGGCTGCAGGGAGCTATGATAACGCCGCTGCACTTTAGCCCTGCTGACAGAGTGAGACCCTGTCTCAAAAAAAATAAATAAGAGTCATGATACCTAATTTGAACAACTTGGTTGATGATGGTGTCACTCACTAAGAGGAAAATCAGAGAGAGAAAATTTACTTGGGAATTATACGAGTTCAGTGTTAGATGAGTTTCAGATGTCTGGGCAGTAGTTAGATCTCCAGAGATATCTAGAGAGATCTCAGACAGAGATCTAGGCTGAGGATGTAAATTTGGATGTCATCAGTGTATTGTGATGGAAATGGAATACATGAGACGTGTGAAGTTCATCCAGGGGAGGAGTAAAATGAGAGAGAAGAGGATTGAGGATGCAATTCCTGGGAAACATGGATGATGAAGGGATTATTAGAGGAAGGGGAGCCTTAGAAAGGAATGACTAGAAGTAGGATAAAAACAGGAGAGTTTAGTGCCAGGGAACTTTGAGGAGAGTGGTCTGCAAGTGAAATAAGACAAGGGCTAAAAAAATCTGTTAGGTTAGCAATGACACTTGTATTGTTAACCGGACAACAGTATCAACGGTGTGGAGTGGTAGACCAAAAAGCTAAATTTCAGTGAGTTGAGGAATAAATTGGAAGGGAGGAAGCAGAGACAGAAAATATATAAAACTCTGAAAGACATTGGTTTTGAAAGGGGGAAGGAAAAGAAAGAAGATGGTAAATAATGAGAAATGTGGGTTGGGGGAAGTTCTATTTTGTTTTTTATAACTTGGTTTAGGCTTGAGCAAGTTTAAATAATGCTAGGAAGGATCTGCAGAGAGGAAATGGGTTAATGATAGTGGAAAGAGTAAATAATTGGTGGAGATTGTTTTTTCTGATTAAAGCATAATTTACATATAGTGAAGTGTGCGACCTTAAGTGTACAGCTCAAAGAATCTGTACATATGTATGTGTCTGTGACGCCCCCACTTAGAACATACAGCATCAGGAAGGCACCTCATACATATACCCTGTGAAACCTCCCTGTTCTGCCCAATAGATGGAAATGAGGAAGATTCCTAAAAAGGCTGGAGGGGCTGAAATCTAGAATACTGGAAGAGAGAGTAGTAGAGGACTTGAATACCTTTTCCTTGTGATTAAAGGGCAGGAGGAAAAGGTGGGAGGGATTATAAGTAAATTTTGCTCAAGTAGATTAGGTCAGATCCGAGGGCTTCCATATTCCTGGCAAGATAGGAAGCAGGGTCTAATCAACTTAATGGATGAGGTGGCAAAGGAGATTTCATTGAAAGAGAAAAAGATTAGAAATTCCACTAAGCCCTGGCCACGTTTTCCATGATAGGCTGAAATGTTTTTCTAACCTTCTAATCTATTAATGCTGTTTTTGAAGTGATAAGTAGTTTCTCTAGGCCTGTGAGAATTTATGTAAAATTTTCTAGTGTACCTCAATATGTAAATTGACTACTAAAAATTAATAACAAGTTTAAATGACAGTTATGAAATTGATTAAAATTGACTCCTTCCTAAAATAACTTGGTCTAACTCTACGGAGTGAATGAGCTTTTTCTTCTTGACGGGGTCAAAAATATGAAGGAAAAGTATTATAGAAATTATGCTTTTAGAAGTTCGTAGGAAAAGGAGGAAGTTAGTGTTTGAATGTCAGTACTCATAGATTAACAGTGATTTCTTGCCTTGAGACCACACATTTAAATCAGGCATAATGCTGAGCGTTCTGCAGCATTGGAATACGTTAGGTTGCAGAATTCTTCAGGGTTTATTGAGTTCTTGTCTTCATTTTTGTTGTTCTAAACTAGTCTTAAACTAGATCTACAGGATAATATTTCTTAAGTGGTTCCTTTTGTTCTATTTCAGAATACCATTTTATGGTAGTTACATAGCTATGACATTATTTATATCGTTTAACCATAGAAGCTCTGGTTGAGGAATTTTCTAAACATTTCATTCATGACGTAATAAATAGCCAGACATATAACATTAAAATAAGAATTATTTACTGTAAACATAAATGAAGTTTCCCTGGTAATAAATCCATTTATTATTAATTAAACTTTAAGTCTGTTGTTTATCTAATTTAGAATAGTCCATTCAAGTTAACATTTGTTGAGTTTCTAACTATGTGCCTGCTAGTGATACACAAAAATAAGTAAGGAGGCCACCACTGTCTAAGAAGAAGACAAAAATGTGTAAAACTATACAAAATATAATGTAAATTTTGATTAGCAATTTATATAAACAAAGTACTATGGGAACCCAGAGAATGAAGCAAAAACAACCAAATAGAATTGGGGGACATTTTCACCAAGGATGGGATGGAGGAAGGCCTTAAAAGGATTATGCTTTGTATTTGCTTAGTGTTTTATAGTTTCTTAAGCACTTCTATAATTATTCTCAATTCAAATCTGAAAATAACCCATTTTCACCAAGGATGGGATGGAGGAAGGCCTTAAAAGGATTATGCTTTATATTTGCTTAGTGCTTTATAGTTTCTTAAGCACTTCTATAATTATTCTCAATTCAAATCTGAAAATAACCCAGGGGAAGGCAGTATAGGTATTTTCCCCCAAATTTATAGATAAGCAAACTGAGATTTTAGATAATATTTGTTATCTTAATAGAGGATAACCAGTTAGCATGGCTAAGACTGAAACATGGTTAACTCCCAAGTCTGTGGTCTTTCCTCTAAACCACATAACATTCTGGGCAGGAGGAATACCTTAAATAAAAACATTTGAGGCTTATGAGTACCAAGTGTATTTAAAGAATGTCACATAACCATTTGCCTAGAATATAGGACAAATGGTAGGAGATGAGGCTAGAAAGATAAGTTGGAACCTGACAAACTATAATTTCAGAGGCCTTAAATTCTATACTTGAACTTTGAAGAACTTTAAAATAGAGAGCGAGCATCTGCTAGGAGAAAAATCCTAATGGGTCTGTAGTGGCTTAAATTAGAGTAAAAGGCATTGATACTGGAAAGGGAGAAGTAAGACTGTCTTTTTTTTTCAGAAGACATGATTGTGTAGAAAATCCCATAGAATCTAAAAAAAGTTACTAGCACTAATAAGTGAGTTTAAGTTTAGCAAGGTTGTAGGATACAAGATCAATATACAAAAATCAGTTGTGTTTCTGTGTATAAACAATGAACATTCAGAAGCTGAAATAAAAATACCATTTAAATAGCATAAAAATATGAAACTGACAAAAGATTTGTAAAACCTGTTTATTGAAAATTGTAAAATTTTGTTGAGAAAAATTGACCTAAATAAATGGAGAGATATATAATGTTCATGCATTAGAAGACTAAGTATTAATAAGAAATCAGTTCTCCTCAAATTGTTGTATAGATTCAAGGCAATTTTAATCAAAATCTCAGCAGGCTTTTTTTGTAGAAATTGATGAGCTGATTCAAAACCAAAACAACTTTGAACACGAAGAACCAAGTTGGAGGTTTTTTATTACCTGAATTTAAGGCTTATTGTAAAAGTTACAGCAATCAAAACAGTTGTGACAGCATTCAGATAGGAAAATAAATCAATGGAACAGAATAGATAAATAGATCCACATCCACATATGTACATGTATGTATCTAAACAACTGATTTTTGGCTGAGGTGCAAAAACAAGTCAGTGAAGAAAGGATAATCCTTTTGGCAAATGGTGTTTGAACAATTGGATATTCTTATGTAAAAAACTGAACTTATATTTATTTCTTGCAATATATACAAATTAGCTCAAAATAGATCAAATGTAAAACCTAAAAGATGAACCTAAAACTGTAGAACTTCTAGAAGAAAACATCAGAGAAAATCTTTAATTTTGGGTTACTCAAAGATTTTTTAGATTCTTAGATACAACGAAGAATCTGAGAAATGGTCCTTTTTGAGAGAAAATGTTCTGTAATTGATTGTGGTCATGGTTCCATAACTCTGTGAATATACTAAAAGCCATTTAATTATACACTTCCCGTGGAGCCCAGTAGTTGAAAATAGTATCTCAGTAAGGTGTTATTAAAAACAAAAAAAGGTAGCATGCATCTACCATATGACCCAGCCATTCTGTTCTTGGATATTTCCCTGAGAGAATTGAAAGCATATGTCCCATACGAAGACAAATGTTCCTTTATCTGTAATAGCCAAAAACTGGAAACAACTCAAATGTGTATCAACATGTAAAAGGATAAACAAATTGTGGTATATCCATAGATGTTATATTACTCAGCAATAAAAAGGAATGAACTGTTGATGCTCACTACAGCATGGATGGCTCTCAAAATATGCTGAGTGAAAGAAGGCAGACCAAAAAAAGGATATATATGGTATGATTATATAAAATTTTAGAAAATGCAAACCGATGCATAGGACAGAAAGCAGGCCAGTATTTTCCTAGGGACATGGGACAGGTCATGTGGAGGGGAGAGAGGGAGTACTTAACAGTGGAACAAGAGGAAACTGTTGGGGGTGGTGGATATGTTTGTTATCTTGATTGTGGTGATTTTTTACAGGTGTATACATATGTCAAAATTTATCAAATTTAATACCTTAAACATGTGAAATTTGTGTTAGTTATACCTCATAAAGATGTTTTTAAAAATCTTAATGGATTCTACATGATTTTAACAGATATAACACTGTCAAATCTGTGTTTTAGAAAGGAATGGAGTGGAGAAAAGAGGCACAGCGTATTCATTTATTCAGTGAATTAAACAGATATCTGTGCTAGACAGGGGCAGGGGGTCAATAAAAAGTCTCACAGACATGTGGAAGATGTATGTAAGTAAATAATAAGATAATATAATAATGCCTATATGACATAATGCTTATATGCTGTAACTCTGGCTGGGGGCAGTTAACAGAATCTTCAAGAATGAGTAAAAATTGCAGTAATCTTAAGTGTGAAATGAAAAATGCCTGAAGTAGGTAGGTGAAAGTGAGGTTGAAAAAAAATTCCGAAGAGTTTTTAGTGACAAACTCAGGAGTTTGGATGTGGAAGTATAGGAGAAGTAAGAACCAAATATTTTTTATTTAGAATGACTAACTCTGGTGGTAAGAGAATAGAGATATAGGGAATTTAGGAGAAGTAGATGGGGTTGGAAGGGATGGGGAGAAAAGCTCAGTCTTAGACTTAAGTTGGAAGTTCCTGTGGGACATCCAGTTAAAGGTATCTTGCAAGTTGTTGGAAGGTATAGGCTTGTCCCTTTGAAAAGAAGTCAGTTCTGAGGATATAGCTTTTGGTCCATTATTGCATAGAGAAGTGATTAAACTATTCAGGAAGGGTATAGGGTACAGCAGGAAAGCCAACAATGAGGCTGAGTGCGGTGGCCCATACCTGTAATCTTGGCACTTTGGAAGGCCAAGCCAGGAGGATCTCTTGAGGTCAGGAGTTCGAGACCACCCTGATCAATATAGTGAGACCCTGTCTCTACAAAAAATAAAAAAAATTAGCTGGATGTGGTGGCACATGCCTATAGTCTCAGCTACTTGGGAGGCTGAGGCAGGAGGATTGCTTGAGTCCAGGAATTTGAGGCTGCAGTGAACTGTGACAATGTCACTACATTCCAGCCCGAGCAACTTAGTGAGACCCTGTCTCGAAAAACAAAACAAAACAAAAAAAGCCAATGATGAAACTGAGGGTGTCATCAGTGTTTAAGGGATGGGGACCAAGAAGGCAGAAGAAGAGATATTATGAGGATAGACGATGCCAGACTGTAGGAGGAAAATGTCTGGGAGAAGAAATAACACTGATAAATTACCTGGTATGTTTTACCAGTTGGAAAATAGTATTCAGAGAAGGTTTTACAGTTATGTTAGAGAATTCAGGAAGACTCTGTAACAGGAACAAAGAAAACTAGGCAAAAAAAAAAAAAAAAAACCCCACAAAATAATGATTAACTATAGGAAATTAAAAAGTTTACAAGAAAGCAAATGTAATTAGCAGAACACTGCATGACTCAGATGTGAAATAGTTACATAGTCATAATAATATATTAAATATAATTTAACCAAAAATTATGCTATAACAATATTGGTAGACTAAGAGGGTACAGTGAAAGAGAGGTAAGTAAATCTTCATTTTCCATAACCAGAAGCCAATAGATAATGTCTAAAATTGAAAAAATTCAAGAAATAGCAGTATAAGTATGTTACTTAGAAATAGAGAAGATAATACAGAAGAAATCACTAAGAATGGCAAGTTACTATTAGGAGTGAAAATCAGAACATAAGGAGCCATGGAGTAGGGGAAGATATTTTCCACCATAAGCTGTGTATAAATGCTATTTGTCACTGTAAATTACTTTCATGAATTGATTTGGATAAAATTAAGATTTAAAAAGATAATTCATCAATCACTAGAAATAGTAGCCTATTAATTTGTAGAAAATGCCTTAGCTATTTAGTTAGATAGGCTTAATTATGAAAATGAGAATACTATACAATAGTCTGCATCTCTTTCCATTGTAAATGTGTGGCTTTCTAAGCACTGTTAACTCTTCTATTTGTTTCTTTAGGTTGATGAAAAAACCGTAGGAGAACCTGGTTGGCTTTATGGTAGTTTTCAAGGAAGTTTTGGCTGGTTTCCATGCAACTATGTAGAAAAAATGCCATCAGGAGAAAAAGCTGTGTCTCCTAAGAAGGCCTTACTTCCTCCTACAGTATCTTTACCTGCTACCTCAACTTCTTTTGAGTAAGTTTTTAGCTAGCAGTGGAGTTTACATAGCTCAGCAAATGTATAAATACCTAATATGTAGTTGTGTCAGCTTGCTACTTCATTGTATTATAATCTGAGCTAGACACTCCAAGAGTACCTTTTGTTCCAGATTTAATACTGAAATTTAGCAAATGAAATTATAGGTCAATAGTTTGTTCAAGAATTCTTTTTTTTCCACAAATTGTGTTTAAACACAGTGTATATAATTATACAAGTTGATAAATTAGTAGTACTTCATTAAGTTCTAAACAATTAGGTATACTTACATGAAGATGTTATATTTGCAGACCACTTCCTTCAAATCAACCAGCATCAGTGACTGATTATCAAAATGTATCTTTCTCAAACTTAAGCGTTAATACATCATGGCAGAAAAAATCAGCCTTCACTCGCACTGTGTCCCCTGGCTCTGTATCACCTATTCATGGACAGGTATGTTATCTGTAATTTTTGTGTGCTTTAGTCTTTGAATTTGCTCCTGATTCCTATAAAATAGAATGAAAATTTTATACAAAGGCATCATTTACTCATTTAACCAGAATTTGTAGCATTCAGTTTCTTTCTTATTCACCTGTGATATGAAGTTGAAAAAATTATTATTGCTTAGAGGTTTCTCAACAATTATTTCCCATAGTACCAAGTTGCTAGCAGCTAAGGTTTCTAAACTCAAAATATCATTTCGACAAATCTGATTACAATTGTTCTTAATTTGTAGTTATTGTAAAAAGATAAGAGATTTAGGCTTGGGAGTTTTTGTTTTTTTCTTGAATAAGTCATTTTTCTGGGAACCTTGGAACTTTTTTTGTGTATATTTAACTTCTGATTTAGATTTAACCATTGCAAGTATTGTTACATTAACATTATTGGAAAGAATCGCAGACTTCATCAGAATAAAGTCTACAGATTTCACCTTCATTCAAAAAATGTGTATTGAATGACCATAGGTTCCAGACATTTTATTATGTGCTAGAAATTTAAGGAAAAATAAGTCAAAATTCCTGCCATTAAGTAGTTCATAATCTAATGAAGGAGACAGGCACATAAACAACTGTGAAGTGTGAGGAATGTTGTAATAATGTGATACCCACGAAGTCCTGAGGGATATACATAGGAGAGAGCTTCTTATTCAATTGGTGGGAATTGGAGCAGACTTCACAAAGAGCAGAGTATTTGAGTAGGATCTTGAAAGATAAGCAGTATTTCACCAAACAGAAAAAGAAAGTTATTCCAGTGAAAACAATTTGAGAAAAGTTACTGAGGCATGTTAACACAGGTGTTTGCAGGAAACAAGAGTACAAGATTCGTGGAGAAAGGGTTAAGAAGTGAAGTTGGAGAGAGAAGTTGAGGTTATTTGTGAAGCATTTAATACCCTGCTAAACTTGGCAGTGGGACATCCCTGAAGGTTTTTAAGAGAAGAGTTGATGTGTATATTTCAGTACTGTGATGGGTACAGAACCTAAAGTAGAAGAGACTGAGGGGTTAAACTGGAAAGCAAGTTTAAGACTATTCTTTCTTTGAGGAATTTTAGAAGTAGAAGATAGTAGAGAAGTGGAGAAAGAAGGTCAAAGAGAGAGACTTACTATTAGGAAATATTTTTAGAAAATGAGAACGCAGTACAAGTGAAGAGGTTAACCTTATTAAAAGAACAAAAACACTCCTCCTGAGAGGAGAGGGAGAGAAAGAAGAATAAGAATACAAAGAAATTAAGAGTCAGCAGAAAAATGGAGGGAGGCCAAGCATAACCATAACCGAATTTCATTTCCTAGTAGAGTGAACTGAATCCACTGCAGTTGAGAGACATTGGAAACTGGAGGAGAAAAAAGATTTACAGTAACTCTTTCCTTTTCATTTGTTCTATGATATATATTTCATAGACTTACGAATTCATTTCTTGAGTACCCTCACTACTACCTTCTATACCAGTGATGATGTTTCCTGAATGGTGGGTATTCATTCTGTCTTTAACTTAGCAGAAGGCTGCTCACATGGTTGTCCGTCATATGTAATTTTAAGTCAGTTAGTAGATTAAGGTTAAGTCACCAACACACCAAACCGATCTGTTGTTTGAACAGTAAGTATGTTAAATACTCAGAAATCATGGTTACCATTGTCTCTTTTTAAATTTTTGTGGTTTTGTTTTCATAGGGACAGGTTGTAGAAAACCTAAAAGCACAGGCCCTTTGTTCCTGGACTGCAAAGAAAGATAATCACCTGAACTTCTCAAAACATGATATTATTACTGTCTTGGAGCAGCAAGAAAATTGGTGGTTTGGGGAGGTGCACGGAGGAAGAGGATGGTTTCCAAAATCTTATGTTAAGATCATTCCTGGGAGTGAAGTAAAGCGAGAAGAGTAAGCATCTTTATGTGTTGTACGTGAGGTATAGGTGTTGGTATTTTCACTGGCAAGTCAGCCACAGTATGACTGACTATACGATAAAATAAAAGGTTTATGCTCGAGTTTGATTATCGGAAACATATGTCCTAGGGTGAAAAAAGCATATTTCAGATATTTGTTCCAGGTTTAGAATATCTTTTGTTTTAGTTATTTCAGATTCATAAAGTTTTCAAAATACTTAAAATTTTATATCTGTTGCTTTCTTTGTACCATAAGATCAGTTAGAAAGTTACTTTGCATTTCCTATCAAGCATTTCTCCCTTGTTTACTATGAATTATCAATATTTAAATAACTCTTTGCTCAAGGCCTCCCATTTGCCAAATTGGGGCATTCCCATCTCTGAGTCTCCAGGGTTCCTTGAACATAACCTCTCATTGCTCATAGCACATTGCATTATAGTTATTGACTTTTTTTACCCATATTCTTATTAGGTCATAAGCTCCATGAGGGTGGAATGCATGTCTTTTTTTGTTATTTGTTCATTTTTCAGTTTTAATTCCTACTATAATTTTAATGCATAGTAGCTGCTCAGTCATATTAGCTCAATGAATGGAGAGAGGAGCAAATGAATAAACAATTGTATGAATGAATTTTCAGATGAACAAAAACTAAAAACCAGATAGGTTAAGTTCCCTGGCCTTTATTTCCCAGTTTGTAGGAGAGTCAAGTTGTCAAATGTCTTTAATACAAGGAAACAGGAGACAATACAGGATGTTCCAAAGTCTCCATACAAAGAAAAAATTTTGTAAAGAAAGGTACATTTAGCTACAATTTCCCATTTTCCCTATATATGAAAAGTTTTAGGACACCCTGTATACCTACGGGTAATTATCTCTTGTGTTTTGTATGGAGTTGATCTAAATAGAAAAGCAGTCTGATTTAACGAAAAGATGCTGGTCTTTAGAAATCAAGAGGTTTGAGTTCTGCTATCTGTGCCAGGCTGTAAGGAGTAACCTATTTGGTCTTCAGTTTTCTAATTGATTGAATGAAAATATTAAATAAATAATCTTTAAGAATTCTTTCCAATGCTGAGTTTCTGTGTATCAATATTAGTTCAAAGGCAGAAATTTACTTTTCATACTAACATGGAATTTTAGATTTAGAAGGCTGTAACAACAGCAGGAAAACAGCAACATACAGCCGACATTTGTATGCCAACACTGTGCTAGGTCCTTTATGGGAATTATCTTTTTTGATGTCCATAACATAAGAGAAAAAACTTAATCAAAAAGAGATTAAGTTTAAGTATTTTAGAGGGCATTTTTTCTAACTTTTCATTTAATTGCCATTCTTTTCTAACATCTAAGGCATGTAACTTGGAAACCTACAGTAATGGGGAATTCAGCACTAAACAAGGCAGTACAGTGTTCATTCATTTGTGGCCAGGAGTTGTAGTAAGGTTCCCCTTCTGTTTATTTGAAAATTTGAAAGCAATTTGAAAATTGCCTCACCTGGCGCATCCCACAGGTGTCTAGTTCTTTTTTTTTTCCCCCCCCCACCCCCACAGGTGTCTAGTTCTTAAACATAACAGTCTTCCAGATTTTTGAAAACAGTTTCCTAGGGTAAAATGTAAATTGATGCTATCCCTGTTCTGAGATATAAAAATAAAATTTTATTATTTTTACATTTTTTAATATAGTACACTCTTGACAAATAATAAAATTTTTGAAATGCCCTTGTTTTTCCCAGACTAAACCATGCCCCATATGTGCTTCGCCAAAACACTGCCCATCTACCAATGTGCTGGTGTCTTTTAAGTTTCTTTAGAAAGGCAAAATATCTCACATTTGAAAAACTATTTACAAATCGTATTGAAATTACTTAAATGTATTTTAAAATATAGACGTTTATAATTATGCAATTCTTAACTCAGCAGTTTTGTGTATGAGAGTCTTCCTAGTCTGTACTGAGACAATATTTAGATTAATTTGAGAAAGCCCTAAAAGAATGCACTGCTAAAACCAGCAATATTCATCAAATCACCTTTCTTGTTTCTTGCTTGTGTCTTTTTTGGAGTTTCATTGTTGTTTTTTGTTTGTATGTTTATCTGACAGGCCAGAAGCTTTGTATGCAGCTGTAAATAAGAAACCTACCTCTGCAGCCTATCCAGTTGGAGAAGGTAAGCTTTTGGCAACTTGTAAATTAGATGGGAATCGGTTTAGCTACTGACTAATTATCTGACTTTGCACAGTTGTTATTCTCCCTGTTCTGTGTCTTCAAGTGTTAAAGGTGGGTTAGGAAAACTTGCCCCTGTCTATTTCACATGAATATTGAGAATCTTATAGAAGAAATATGGCTGAAAATACTTGGCACTTTTAGAAAGGCAGTGCTATAAAAATTCAGCATAGACTGGCTCAATAAATAAGATCATAAATAGTGTTGTAGTGATTGATGATTGATGATTGTTTAGGAGGTAAGTAAATTTCAGTATTTAGTTGGTTATAAATTTCCTTTTAATTACAGTGTGTCATAAGTCATTAAGGAAGATCAAAGTACACCTTATCATAAATATTGCAAAGCATTTTTTAATATCCCTTTGGGTTTAATTAACAAATTATTTTGATTTTTGTCAATGTGTTTGTCAACTTGATGAAAAACGAAACGTTGTCTACCCTAATTTCAGACAACATTTTTATTTAATAGTTGCATAGATTTATAAAAGAAATGTATATGCCCATTATAGAATTAGTTGAATAGTTGAAGTACATTTTATCTTTAGTTTAAAAAATTAGTTTAATGGTAAATTAAACAATTTATTCATTATCTACTATGTTGACAATTCTATGCAAGGATATGCAAAATACAAGGATAAATAAAGCACAGTCTCCAAAGTGCTCACAGTAGAGTGGAGCATACAATTGTAATAAATTCTATAATGAGTGAACAAAAACAACTTAATTTTGGGTAAGACCTATGAATCCGCAGAGGTGGCAATGTTACATCATCCTAAACAATGAGTAGGATCTTGCATAGTGACAAAGGAAGAGAAAGTGCTTCTGGACAGCGGGAATGGCATGAGCACAGTGGTGAAAATTGAGGGAACTTCAGGTCACCAGTGAGGATGGAACCACAGGTGTACTGTGGAACGACAGCTGTGAAATGAGCCTGAAAGTAGTGAGGAGCGTTTTGGAAAGGACCTTACTTACTGAAGCATGCCTAAACCTTGTAATCACTGTTAGTTTTGTTAGATCAGCTAAATTGAGTAGTACTGGGGATGTGAATAGTAAATAGGTTGTAGATGGTGTTTCTAATCTTCTCCAGTTGGTGATATTCGGATCAAATTCCATGTTGGCAATTATAAATAAAACTTTACAGAAAGGAAAAACACTTCCAAAACCCAGTCACTGACTGTTTCCTCTAACTAGCAGTAATCACAGGAACAAAAATCAAAGCTAATATAAACATTTAGAGATTTCCCTGGAGGTGATAAACAAATACTTATTGAGCATCTACTTCAAGCCAAGCACTGTGTTAGGAGCTGGGTCATTGTGATGGAACTTGGCTTCTACTGCTGCTGTCTGCTGATATTGGACGTTTCTATAAATGCATATATAAAAGAATTAAAGAGAAAAGAATTTAGCAGATTAAAATATATTGTATATAAGAATGTTAAAAATATCTTTTCATATCTTGACTCCATTATCTAAGTAACTGAGTGACTTAATCTCACCGAGCCTCAGTTTCATTATCTGAAAAGTAGAAATACTAATGTCTCTTGTTAGTTTTAGGTGATTCTTCGTGATTAAAAAAATAAAACAATTAGAAAAAAGAAACTACGAGGTAAACCTTTATGTTAAATCAAATAACCTTTTTCTAAGGAATTATTAATTAATTACTTCATTCCTTTTTCTACCTTCAGATCTTTTTATATTAGGTTTCCGTAAGGCATGAAATCTTTTACAGTAAATTTATACAAGATTTTGGAGATTAACCTAATTCCTTTTTCACATCTGTAATCTTACAACCAAAATCTGCTTCTTTTTGCTCTATTCCCTGCAGAATATATTGCACTTTATCCATATTCAAGTGTGGAACCTGGAGATTTGACTTTCACTGAAGGTGAAGAAATATTGGTGACCCAGAAAGATGGAGAGTGGTGGACAGGAAGTATTGGAGATAGAACTGGAATTTTTCCGTCCAACTATGTCAAACCAAAAGATCAAGAGGTAGAGTTATTTTGATATTAAAAACAAAATCGTTCCGTTCTTGTTGATCCAGATTTGTACTTAAAACAGAGATATCATGTATATGGTTTTTATCAGACTATTTCAGTTACAAGGAAACCACACAAGGTAGTTCTAGTAAAATAGAGTTTATTGTTAGAGAGATAAAGGGGACAAGATTTCATGAAATTCTAAGAACAGGAGCCATAGGTAGGGCTGAGCCTTATGATAACTGGAGCTAGGGAGTGGTTCTGGATTTGGAGCAGCTCAAAAAGGACCACCTTGAAGGAGTTTGTAAAGTTTTATTTACTTTAAGGCTTTAACATTAATGTGACTCAACCTACACTTTGAGCTCCTGCTTCATTTCATCCCACCACCAGTATATAGTGCAGAAGCTCTCAAACTATTTGGTTTCAGTAAATTTACAGTCTTAAAAATTATTGAGAACCCCAAAGGATTTTTTTGAAGCATGTGGCTTATATCTAATGATACTTACCACATTAGAAATTAAAACTGAAATTATTTAAATATTAACTAATTTAAAAATAACAATAATTAAATCCATTATATGGTAATATAAATAGCTTACTTTTATGAAAAAGAACTATATTTGTCAAGAAAAAAAGTTTAGTGAGAAGAGTGGCATTGTTTTATATTTCTGCAAATCTCTTTACTGTCTGGCTTAAATTGAAATCATCTAGATTCTCACATCTGTTTCTGTATTCAGTCTGTTGTGATATGCTCTGTTGGTTGAAGTAGATGAAGAAAATTCAACTTCACACGTATATGGGAGAAAATGGAGAATTATTTTAATGACATTTACAGATATCTATGGATATTCTTTTTGATTCTACTGCATCAAAACTTGACAAATGCTGAATTGTTATAGATTAGTTGCAACATGGAATCTGAAGCCTTATCAGTGGAAATTCTTCCTGATACATTAAAATTCACTTGTCTATTTTGTGCATTTAATGGATCTCTTACCCATGCATGATGTGGTAACATCATTCACTGGTCATTTGGAAAATACTGAATCACTGAGTTATGCAGATATTCCCTGTATTGACATATTTCATTTTACAATATTAAAAAAAATCACATTTGTTAATATCGTCGCTTATCAGAAAAATCTTTAAGTACCAGGAAACTGTCAAACTAGCAGTGGTAGATACAAGTTTTTTAAAATTTTAATTTTCCCTTGAAAGTTTGAATTTTATCATTGGCAACAAATCCTGTCAGCTGTTTTCTTGAAGTGACAGGCTTTCTGCATTCATTTTGGGGAAAATATTTGCTAAATCCCAAGTCTACCTAGTTTGTCTCTCAGTTTTTAGAAGTAAAAATGTTTTTCCATGAAAAACTTAATTTAGCTTACAATTTAATCACACAAATGCTTTTCCTTGAGACAACTATCATACTTTGGTATGCAGCAGAAATGTTTTAGGTACACTTTTGTTTAGACACACAGAATTTTTAAAGGATTACACTTGATTAAAATTTAATAAAATTTCTACTGCTTGATTGAGGATGTTAAGTGAAACTGGCTTTGTTTGTTTTACTGTGAGTGCATGGCAGTTAAGAATACTATGACTGGGCCGGGCGTGGTGGCTCACGCCTGTAATCCTAGCTCTCTGGGAGGCCGAGGCAGGCGGATTGTTTGAGCTCAGGAGTTCAAAACCAGCCTGAGCAAGAGCGAGACCCCGTCTCTACTAAAAATAGAAAGAAATTAATTGGACAACTAAAAATATATAGGAAAAAATTAGCCGGGCATGGTGGCGCATACCTGTAGTCCCAGCTACTCGGGAGGCTGAGGCAGGAGGATCGGTTGAGCCCAGGAGTTTGAGGTTGCTGTGAGCTAGGTTGATGCCACGGCACTCTAGCCCGGGCAACACAGTGAGACTCTGTCTCAAAAAAAAAAAAAAAAAATACTATGACTGCTAGTATAATTTGGTGCCATTGCCATGATTCAACTAAAGCACTAGCAATTTTACCTACCATTATAAATGTCAGTACAGTGAAAAAGGCAAATAATGTCTTAGTATTATTATGAAAATAGTTTTTAACCCCACAGACTCAAGCAGCTCAAGGACTACTTCCAGGAGTCCACATGCCACAACACTGAGAACATTGGTGTGGTGGAATCAGACTACCTGGGTTGAGTCCTAGCTGTACTACTTAGAGGCTAAGTGACCTTGGACAAGTTACTTCACCTTTCTGTGCCTCAGTTTCTTTTTCTGTAAAATGGGGATAATTGTGTAATAATTACTTAATAATGTTATTGGAAAAGCTAAATAGCTGAATATATGAAACCTCTTAGAGCAATGGCTGTTACATAGTATCCAAAAAATATACTACCATCAACTCTGCTTAATACTTGTACTGCAGCTGTGTGTTCACTAATAGAAAAAAAATCTTTTCAATACCACCCCTTTTTTGTTCAAATTCTTAAAAAGAGGAAGTATGGCTGGTCCAATTTATCCTTTAAAATCAAACAGAGATCGTAGTTGCTATTCAGGGTATGGATTTTTTGTTCTTGAGATCAAGTTCAGTCAATTTGGAGGGAACATGGTGGAAAAATAAAAACTAAAAACATTGCCTCCTATTGAGCAGAAACTATAGATAAGTCAGGGTCCCTTAAAGAAAGCAGGAGCAAAACTCACATACGCCTTAACATATCCAGGACACATATGTTGTATATTGTGGGCGTTAATGCTAACCCCATTGATGAATGGAGTGCATTTGGCCGAGGGAGTCATGTTTAATATTTAGGAAAGATTCAGAAGACCACCTTTTCTGTTAAATCAGTCAGATGACATCAATCAGATGACAACATCAATCACTGCTATATAATATATTCCATTAGCAGATGAGATCTTCTCATTAAGTGTTGGGTTCTGCACTTATTTGGTCAATAGTATATGAAATTCATTGTCATTTTGATCTTAATTTAAAGAAACAAGAATCTCGGGAATTGAAAATCTCTAATTTCTAATAAACTTTGTACTTTTATATCTGGATTGTTAGAAATAATAAAAACAACATGATATCTTTTCCTTGTAGAGTTTTGGGAGTGCCAGCAAATCTGGAGCATCTAACAAAAAACCTGGTATGTATAATAGTGAGCTTAGAAAATTAGTAAAGTATTTGCTCTGTTATAGTCTTGAATTCATAATTTCTTGTTCTTTTTCTTTTCAGAGATTGCTCAAGTAACTTCAACATATGTTGCTTCTGGCTCTGAACAACTTAGCCTTGCACCAGGGCAGTTAATATTAATTCTAAAGAAAAATACAAGTGGGTGGTGGCAAGGGGAGTTACAGGTAATATTCTTTAGTGTCTATCAGTTTTATTATAAGAGGAATACATGCTCATAAAAAAGATAAAATTAATAAAAAATTTTAGATCACCCATAATCATACCACTTAGAGGTAATCAATATCAACATTTTAGCATGTTGTTTCCTCTTATCTTTTGCCTGTTCATTTCTAGCACAGTTGAGTTGATGTTATTATATAAGTAACAATTTAAAGAATAACTTTATCTAAAGACAATTGTTTTCCAATAATTCATCCCTTACTAAACCACAGATCACCTTATTAAAGGAAAGCATAGCATCATCTTTGCCTGGGAGAGCCCCAGGCTTGTAGTATAGCCTTTCAGAGAAAGACATGATCCAGGTTTGGTACTGAGAAAATACTACTCATTCTACTGTCCCCCAGTGGCCTTAGTTTTTGAAACAGCAGTGCAAGGAAAGAGTGCAGATATCAATGAGCCTGATTTTTTCCTAAAATATTAATAGATGATTATTGTATATGTATTGATACAGAAAGAGGGTTCTTCTCTCACTTCTAAAATTTCTTTACTAGTTAAAATTAAAAAGCATTTTAGAGGTTAAATGATGACAGGTGTAATGGCTGTATTTTTATATAACATTGATACATGATTATAATATGGAGGGTGTACATAGCTGTACATAGCTTCATTCTTGCAAATTGGAGTCTTAGGATTCCTAAAGAACAGTGAGGATTCAAATTCAATATCTTCTGATAATTCCACCTTCTGATTTAAGATGGACTCAACCAAATGGGAAACATGGCTCTTCACAAATTTTATTTACAACCTTCTGATTAATTATTAACAAAGCTCCAAGAGATATTTACAGTGGGCTGCACCATTTTAAGGGCTGGCTTGATCTTGTTAGGAGAACTCTAAAAAGGTCTTTTTGAATATAAGTGTTATTTCTGTGAAATATTCAGAGAACTCTGAGCCTGAAAGACCTCCAAATAGATTTCTACAGATGGCATATTTAGCAGCAGTTTGAGATGTATATCGTATTGAGTCTTCCAGTTGTTTAATGTTTACCTGAAAGGCCAATGCTGAGTTCAGGGGCCTCTAAAACCACCCTCATATCTGAAACCAATTACAAGTTTAGGGGTCCTCAAGACTACTCTCAAGTTCAATAATTCACTAAGAAGGACTTACAGAACTCACTGAAGCTGTTACACTCATAGGTATAGGTATTTTTTGGTTTGGGTTTCCCCCACCCCACCCCGAGACAGAGTCTCACTCTGGAATGCAATGGTGTGCAGTCATAGTTCACTGTAACCTTGAACTCCTGGGCTCAAGCAGTCCTCCCACTTCAGCCTCCCAAGTAGCTAGGACTGCAGGTGCACACCACCACAATTGACTTAATTTTTTTAAAATTTTTTTGTAGACACAGGGTCTTGCTGTGTTGCCCACACTGGTCTCAAACTCCTGGCCTCAAGTGATCCTCTTGCCTCAGCCTCCCAGAGTGTATAGTTAACAGTTTATTTCAGTGAAAGGGTACAGATTAAAATCAGCTGAGGGAAGAGACACATGGGACAGCATGCAGGAGAGTTCCAAAAAGGGAGCTTCAGGTTGTCCTTTTAGTGGAGTCATGGACAGCATTAACTCCTCCTTGTGATGACGTGTGACAGTACACACAGTGTTGCCAACCAAGGAAGCTCACCAGAGCCTTAGTGTTCAGAGTTTTTATTTGGGCTCCCATCGCATACATATGGTTGTTGTCCATATGGCTGAACTCAGTCTCTAACCCCTTCCAAGACTGAGCTGATACTGCGTGACTCAAAGTACGCACCGTAAATCACATTGTTAGATTTGGCATGGCCCGAAGCTCCCTGATAAACTAAGATGCTCTTATCAGTCAGGATATTCCAAGGATTTAGAGATTACCTCCCAGGAGCTGAGGGCCTCTCTGGGCAAGATTAAATTCTTTATTGTACATCCACAGTTTTTCTGATTTTCAAGGTATGTCTCAATGATTGTTTTTATTCTCATCTTTCAATTTTATATTCCTTTTACTAATTTATAGGCCAGAGGAAAAAAGCGACAGAAGGGATGGTTTCCTGCCAGCCATGTTAAACTTTTGGGTCCAAGTAGTGAAAGAACCACACCTGCCTTTCATCCTGGTATGAAGTTTGTTTAAACTCAACAGCCTCTTACAGAGTAGCTAACTCTGAAAAATATTACAAATTTGTTCTTCCCTTACCTCTGCTTAAAAGTAACATGCCACTGAGAACTTCCTTTCTAAAAAGTTTTGTATAGAAACAGTCCACTTGATACTTGAACCACTTCATTCCTTGAAATTTTTCAGTGTGAAATTGCTACACCATCACACTTAAAGCGTCTGCTTGGATTGTTAACTGTAGTTGGGAAATTCTCTTTTTTTGTAAAACAGGGAATGGAGGGAGGAGGAGAAGAGATAGAACAGCTCAAAGTAAATTTTTCCTAATTTTAATATTTTAGAGTAATTTAAATCGTAGAGAGAGTTTTAACACTTGACTCTTGTAGGAATAATTAATTTAATTTGTTCTTTTGTTGTTCTTCTGATAGTCTGTCAGGTGATCGCCATGTATGACTATGTAGCGAATAATGAGGATGAGCTCAATTTCTCCAAGGGACAACTTATTAATGTTATGAACAAAGATGATCCTGACTGGTGGCAAGGAGAAATCAATGGGGTGACTGGTCTCTTTCCTTCAAACTATGTTAAGATGACGACAGACTCTGATCCAAGTCAACAGTGTGAGTAATACCAAATCATTTATCTCTAACTTAGTGTGAAAACTTTAATATGCAGTATTGAGTTTATTATTGTTTTGGATCAGATCTTAAACTCAGCACTCACAGTAAATGTAGATTACTGTTTAAAGTAAGAAAAAAACTAAAGGAAACTTTTTAGAAGGTCAAAATTTATACTGCTTTATTTAAATAGTTTTTGCTAACTTCAGACCTTGTTAGATCTTTTCTGAAAGAATGCATAATTTTTCTTACGGGTTCTTTGGTATGCCAGCCGTCTATACTGAAATTTCTTTTCACCACCATCTTCTTTTTCAGCATCTAGTTTAAAAAATAGCCCTAGTCACCTATTTAAATTTACCATTTAAAGTACAGATGCTATTAAATTTGCAGTCTTCTCGTTTATTTGCCACATGTTTACATATTATCCAGGTTGGAAGAAAATTAAATGATCTGTTTAAACTGTTTGTGAAACTCTCATTTGGTGATTCTTTAAATAACCACCTCATTCCACGAGGGTCCATATCTCAAAGTATGAAATTTGGTATTATGTAAAATTATCTCTTGGTATTTACTTAGCCATTCTTGTAGTTGACAGTAAACTCAGCATTAATAATAAATTAGGGAATAAACAGTACTTGGAAATAATTTTTTACCTTTATAAAATGGATGTTACTTTTTCCTACCCTTTTGATTTTTAGTTTTAATGTTTACAAAATACATCATGATTTGTATTTTTATCATTCTTGTGAAATTATCTGAACTATTTTAGCCTTTCATTTTAATTTAGTTGCTGAGGACACATAAATGGCAACCCAATCAAAACTGAAATGTGTTTATGATTCAGTATAAGGATTATAAATTTATTTAATACTGTATCTATAATTTTGCATATTATTTTCACCTTAGAGCTTATAAAGATAGTTCTGATCCTGGGAGAAGACTTCCTTTTAGCTAAAGCAACTAGATTTCCCAATTTGGAGATGGAAGGAGTCCAGTTTTTTATGGTTTGAATGTTCCCAAAAATATCTCAGGGTTTCAAGACAAGGTAAAGAAAATTATAACAACTTGGGTTGCCTAATGAATGACCATTTTTAAGCTCTGCTGATGGTTTGGTAGTTTGCAATGATTAATTAGAAATCAGCTTGTCTGATTGATTAGATGCATGTGTGGCACCTTTCCTGGCTCTGAGAAAGATTGTTTTCAGACCTACTGGGTCTGGAAGATCTTTGGCTAGTGATCCCTGAAGGCATCCCAGTGTGTCAGTATATTTGGCTTTTATAGCATCCATGACCTAAGTGATAATTTTTCAACTATATTGTTGTTTGGAACACTTTTTTTCAATGAAGTCTCATATATAATAATAAGGACTATAAAGAACAGATAAAAACTGTTCCAAAGGAAGTACAGGACCATCCCGCCAGGCCTTCCCTTCTTTTCCCCTACTTATTCTATGACAGTCCTTTCAGTTTCTTCTCTGGGGATAATTTAAAAATCACTATGGTAGAGAAATCTACTTAGAGGCATTAACAACCTCTTAGGAAAGTAACCTTCCCAGAGAGCTGAGTGACAACTTTTTATTCTTAAAAGAAGCAGTATAATAAATTGTCAACAGATGTTTGGTACATGAATGATAAAGGAAATAGGCTGACATGAATTAATTATCCAAGCACACATTTGCCATGGAAATTACTTTGGGCCAGAGAATGCTTTGTCTGCCATTTTTGTATGGGTAGAACTGGCAGAGCCTCAGTCTACCTATAGATGAGGAAGATACCTAATCTATATAGTGCTATCCAATAGAACTTTCTGCAATGAGAAAAATAGTCTATATCTGTGCTATCCAATACAGTGGCCACTGGTCATATAGAGCTTTTGATTATTGGAGTGTGGCTAATATGACTGAGAAACTCAATTTTTAATTTAATTTAATTTTAATTAATTTAAAGCTAAATAGCCATTTGTGGCTGGTGGCTACCACATAGGACAGTGTAACTTCAGAAGACAACCAATTTCAAGGCCTCCCTGAAATAAAACAAGTAAATAACAATACTGAAACAGAAATAAGAAGAAAAGAAATAGTTGTCTTTCAGTCATTACTGACCTACACAATGATTTAAAGGAACAAAGTTTCCATGTGCTTCAGGTTTTACTTTTTATGGTGTTTTTAGATTTGGTTAACATTCTTCCCACTATTAAGAAATCCATTCATTTGGTAAGTATTTTTTTGAGTGTCTACCATGTACTTACTTACTAGGCATTGGGAATACAAACATAAAAAAACAGTCCTTGCTATGAAGTAGCTTTAGAGGTTAGTGGGGAGTAACATTCAGATAAATGTACATACCACAACAATTGCTATAATGAATATTTATACAAATATGTATTGGGAAGAGATCCCCTAAATCTTTGTGGGGAAAGAAGGCATGCCACAAGAGATTTCACAGAGGGTATTTGAGCTGGAACATGAACGATAAGTAGTAACAGTTAGCTAGAAAGGCAAATACTGGGGATGGGAGGAGGTACTAATTATTTTCTTGATTATTTTACATAGTGAAAGCTGGGAAAATAGAATGTTCAAGAAGTTATTTAAAAATAAGAGTAGTTTCAAAGTTCTCTTTGTTATAAAATTATTACCAGTAACTTACCTTATTTTTTGCTGATATATGTGGATTTCTTTAGTTTGATCATATCTAAAAACTGTACTTTATGGTTTTGCCTAATGCATGACCAAATCATCTGTCCTGGAATAAAAAGGCTCTCAATTCTGTAATTCTGAGGATAATTCCCAAAGAGATTCCTCTGAGACCATTTATTGTTTCTATAAAACAACTGTTTAAATCACCTTGGAGAATGAGGAATACTAATTTTGTTTACTTGAAATAATTATTTATCAGAAATTAAAGAGTCATAATTGCTTTTTCAAAGAAGATGAAGAATAAGTTGTATTGTAACTATGAAGTTCACTCACATTAAGTTTATTATAAACCTATAATTGGATATGGTTCAGAAATGCTTAAATCCTTAAAGTCAGGAATTGATTTGAGATCTTTGTTATACCTACCCAGATTTTTAGAAATGAATCATCTGTTCATAGTATGTATGAGTCAGTGAAAACTAGTTGAATTGTAGATTACTGTTTGTGTTTCTTTGGCTCTTACAAGTATTACTTTCATTTTATTATATAATTAGAATATTTTTTAAAGGTTGAGGATTTTAATAATTCAAATTCGTTTAGTTGATGTGTCATGTTATTATTAGTCAAATTTTTTCTCACCCACCCAATTTACATTATGTTCATTTTATTCCTCATTTTTCTTTTTTTAGGACCCAATGTTGTCTTCCAGTTGTGAAAGCACCCCAGAGACCCACTATCCAAGTTTGACTCTAGCGTGGAGGCAGGGCAGGCAGCCCTGATCAAATATCTCCTACACAATTTGTTTACTTCGTTCGAATGTTAGAGCCACTTGTGATTATTTCTTTGTGTTTCTAATTTATAGTTAAAATTTATTTGTAACAAATTAAAGGATAGTGGGTCTTTGTGTGGCTTTCCCTGCTGTTCACTCTGGCATCCTTTAGCATTTTTCTTCTTTTTTAATTTGGTAACTGTAGGTCATTTAGCATGCATATTGAGTTTGCCCTTACATGGTGGGAGTTCAAACACACAAAGACCCACTATTTGCACAAACTATTCTTGCTGGTTTGGAATGGGCTGCCATGCTTTTCTAATGTTACTGCAACATGTATATTCGTTACAGAATTCAGATAAAATTTGCTTATGTTCTGCTTATATTTGATCTGATCCTAATCACAGTGAGTTCTTAATTGGCTCAATATGTGGTTTGCCCTCAAATATGTACTGTTTATTACTTTCTAATATGCCACTATGAGTACCAATATTTAAATTTGTTTAAAAGCCAAGAACTGGAAATAGTTTCTTCTCTATTTTCTGTGTATTCAAGATGGAAGCAATAACATTTTGGGGGAGCTTTTTTTGTCTCACAGAAATGGCAAGTGGCCTGCTCTGGCAGATATGTGCAGACTGGAATATGTTTAATCTGTTTCAACTGCCCAAGAATGAGCACTATACTATGGTAGTTTCCTTAGGATCTTCACGTGCTCTGGGCTAATGGAGATATTGCATCATGTGCTGCAGCGGTTAGTTGTTACTTCCTTATTGATGACCCAAAAAGGGATTATTTTGAGGAGTGAAAGGCTCCTGTTGTTCACTGTGGGATAAGACACCTTCCCTAGTTTAGACAGAGCATTTATATCTATAATACATTTTAAAGTCAGAGTTCATGCTACCTTTCAATCAGGTGACTACATGTCCCAGTACACAAAGGACACTGGTTGGCATTCTTTTTAATGTATTTAATAACGATCATAAAGAATGCTTGAAGACTTTAAATGCCCCTGAAACAGGCATACAGACTCTAGTCAAGAATGAATGAGTGAAGGAAAGATTTGTGAGAACTGGCATTCCTCTATGCTCATGAAGCTTCTTTGAGGCTACAAGATTGATTTTACCATCCAGACTTCTCTGGCTGATACCTATTCTTCAACCACATTGGCTGCTTTGACATAGGAATTTACTTCTTTTCTTTGAATGGAAAACATTTTAAAAATAGCAGACATTATTATAAACTAATATATGTGAGAGTACTTAGCTGAAACAAAAAGGAGTTTTAGTATACAGTATTAAACTATATTTGAAAATCAATGAGAAGTTTATGCAATTTAAAATGTTTACAAACTGCAGTGCAATCTACTGTTTGTGAATGTCAAAGTATTATCAGGAAAAGTATACATACAATCAGAGTCATATTTCCTCACAGAGTTCTGTAAGAGGAGTGAAATGTGTTTTTATACCTCTCAGTTTCAGTTAGAGGCATATTTTGTGCAATATTTTTGTTAATGTGCCTATACATTATGAATGATTTCAGTCGTACATTGCCTAAATCATAACTTTACAACACTTGAGAAAGAATCAGCAGTTTAGTTAA